TATATCACAGCTAAGGGGGTTGTCGACCCTCCGCTTCGCGTCGGGCCGAACCACGCCCCTTAGCTGTGATATAATGAGCATATACCACGGCCTGTCGTGAGCTATTGCTTAAACATACCATCATTATATGGTAACCCACTCAGGTTACCAACATGGCTGGACTGTAAAGAACTGCACCAAAGTACTCCAACGAGGAACAAATATATACAGTATAAAACAAACCCATGATGTTGTCTCAATGTCTGAGTGAATGTCTCATGTCATGCTGTTTATTTTACTCTTGAATATTAAATTATCTCTTTTTGTATGCTACAAATAGATTCCACCAGTAACCACATCTGACACCAGCTATTAAATAAAAAAATAAGATTGAGAGCATCTCAAATTGCCTAAATGGATATTCAGAAGAGTGTATTTTTATTACAAATCGGGAATAAAAGCATTGGTCCTTTGCATAGGAGCGGCTCTTAACAAAGCACATAATGCCCTCATATTTTACACTGGTGATGACAGTTCTTAATATGCCATGCATAATACACTATTGAGGAATATTGTGTGTTCTGGGCCTGAGCTGTGTAAATAAAAAAAGGATATTACAATTATGTACAACCAAAGTCACTGGCTGGAGGAGAAACAGCATTGGAACAGTTGTGTCAAATATCATCAATCAATGTTTTATTTGCAAGGTCATGGCGTGTCCCAGGGTGTCAAGTTAATAGGAGGGAATCATGTTCACGAAAAACAATGCAAAGTCGGTGGTGTTAATCAAAATATATCTGATGATATGGGTGGGTGGTAAGGCACAGTATTGGGACCTTACTTCTTTATGTATTTGGGCCTGAGGGGCCGGTAATGTGCTTAGGCACATTTATTCCTGCTTTCTTACAGTGCAGACGCTTTTCTGCTTGCTCTTGCCTCTGCTTACTTTTTTATGCTGATTTTCCTCTGCACTGTAAGAAAGCAGGAATAAATGTGCCTAAGCACATTACCGGCCNACCCCCAGGTCGGGAACCACTGTTCGAGGCTGTTGCTTGGCGTGGCGAGAATATTGCTCCACTTTCTCCGGTCCCCGAGATTGGGCTTCCAGTAGCTCTGGAGAGAGCTTTCGCACCTGTGGCCACTAACGGTCATAATTTCTCTGCTTTGTTTCAAGACCCGCATCAGAAAGCTTTTGAATGGTGGTACTTTTCCAGTTGGTCTACCTGCTCTTCACGTAGCTCTGCATGTCGTAGTTTAGGTGCTTTTTATTCTGGAGATAGGCACTGCTCAATCCACTCCTCCATACTATAGTAAGACCCCCCCGGAGGTCGAAGTTAATCTTAAATGTTTCCATTTTATGCTTTGTAAGTTTGTTTCGTAACGGAAGAAATTTAAATATATTTATAAAACTGACAAGTCAAATCAAGCAATCTGATTGGTCGATAGCGTTTTTGCGGACCTCTTTGATTACAGATTTGAAAACATTGTTGCTTGCTTTAAAAGTAGCACAATTCATTATGTTAAACCTTCAAAAGTGTCTAGATATCCCTGCCCTAATGCCAAAGGAACTGCACACTGAATATGTTTTGCCGTTTGATGTCTATGTCTGGACCGCTGCGTCAAAAAGGAGGGCTTCTGCCCCGTTACTTTTCCGCTGCTTTCTTGTTCCGGTATGAAAAGCAAACTGCCTGCAGCCCAACGGTATACTGTTTTTCTCAGACGCGGAGGGATACTGACTTGTTGTGAAAAGTAACTTGCAATTCTACCAGTGGTATACGCTCAGTATATCACGGCTAAGAACCAATCAGATTGCTTGATTTGACTTGTCCGTTTTATAACTATTAACAAAGCACTTATACACTAATAAAGGACTGGCTTATCTAAAACCAGTTGAGTAGCACTTGAAATGTTTTAGCTCTATGAAACCTGATGTACTTATATGATTCTGTTTTCTTCAAGTTTATATTTTGTTGGTCGAACGCACTTATTGTAAGTCGCTTTGGATAAAAGCCTCAGCTAAATGCAATGTAATGTAATGTAAAGTGATATATTCCCGGGAAACTTAGTGAAACATTATAACTCATTTTTTATTAACAAAGACGCACATAATATTTTAATACCATTGATGGTTTTGTTCGGCAAACTGAGATTGAATTGCCTGAATGGCTTTAATCGCGGCTGCTGATCCACTCACATGACATAACACTTCCTTTGTATTTATCCTATATTCATTGAAAGCTAGTGCAAGGCATTCAGTCAAATGTCTTCTACTGGGACGCCTGCTGTCTCATATTGAAATGTACTTCTATTCAGACATTCGTGGCACATTGAGTTGTGTCCACCCCCCCCTCCCCAATACAGCACTTCTGTTATTGTTGACAGGGGTGTTAGTTTCCTAAGCGCTATGCCTCTCAGCCTTTAACAGTCTCAGGTTGATACAGTTCAAAAGCACACAATGGTGCAATGGAAGCAGTTGTAGTGCATACATAATCAGGTGGATGTGTCTCTGTAGGCTTTAAAACTAAAGCACATCAGATTGAATCAGTATATCTAAAAGATCATTTCATTATGATGAAAGGAGAATCTGTGTCAATTCGTTCCAAAAGAAAGAAGATGAGGCATAGTAATGCCTGCTGTTTTCATGGGTTGTCTTCATAACACAATACATTCACCCTGATCTAAGGTAATGACACACACATAAGTCTAAGGCAACACTCTTAGGAGAAAAAACTCAAATAAATACATAACCTTTTTGAGAGGTATACTTGCCAGGTCCAAAGAGATGCTGTATCCCTTTCATGATTTTATGTGGATGGCAAAGCACTTTGAAGGTGCTTAATTATCACTGTCCGCATGCTGCAATCATTTCCGCTGAACTCAGGAAGTCAAAAGGTCAGCAAAGTCAGCTGCAGTCCAGGAATTTAATTTGGACTGTGCATGGATTCCGCTGCCCGGAGGAAACTCTGCCACTTAGGGATCCACTGCTGTGGTGGTAGAG